TCCCCTGTCCCCTGCCCCCCCCATCCCCCCTCCTTCCTAACTGCCCCCCGGGACCCCTGCCCCCATTCAACAACCCGTTCCCCCCCGACCACCACCCACATCCCCGCCCCCTGACCACCACCCCAAACTCACCTGCTCTCTATCCAACCCCCCCTGCTCCGTGCCCCCTTACCGTGCTGCTTGGAGCACTAGTGGCTGGCGACACTACAGCCACGCTGCCCGGCTCGAGCCGGGCCACGCCGCCGCCATCACCACACAAGGGTCAGGCCGGGCTCTGCAGCTGCGCTGCCCCAGGAGCTCTCAGCCCTGCCACCCAGAGCATTGCGCCGGCGGCGGAGTGAGCGAGCTGAAGCGGCGGGGGGGGGGGAATAGCAGAGCTTGGGGGCCAGCCACGATGGTCTCGCGGGCTGTAGTTTGCCCACCCCTGTTCTAGCTACTTGGTGAAGGGACATATGCTGTGCTTGTTGCATTAGTCAGCAATTCTTTTTGAAAAACTAGGGCATTTTTTAAAGTGTTTGTAATGAAGGGAAGGACACCACCTACTGAAGGAGGACTGCTGGTGCCACCTTAGCATGTTTCTGAAGTTTGTTTCTCTGTAAAGATGGAGATCAAATAGTGTTCCTTCTTTACACCAGAAAATTATTATATATTGAAAATGACTTGTGGTATTGTTCCATCTGAAGCGTGGTTAGGGATATGTCTGCTAAAATAATTCTGAGAATGTCAGGAGAGACCTGCTCCAACAGTCCATCAAGAAATGGAACTGATTCTCTTTTAAAATAAATAAACAAGATGTGTCCCATAACCATAAAATAGCTTTAAGGCCAATCTAGAAATTGAAGAGTACTGTGGCCTCTGAATCCAACAGTCTTCGCTATAAACTGTCTACCCAAATTTGTAGATAATAACATAGGAACATAGGAGTCCCTATATCACTGTTTTTTGTAACTCATCAAGTTCCGAAAACTGGTTCCAGGAGCAGAAAAATACTTGATTCTTCTGAGAGACTTGTCTGTGGAGGGGAGGAGAGGGTTATAAAGGATTCCTTCATGCCTGCTGTGGGTAATCTACTTATGCTTTAACATATTCCAAAGAATACAGACCAATTCCAAAGCAAATCCTATTTAGCAGATTATTCGGAATCAGTATAGAATTTCCATTTTCTCAGATCTAAGAACTCACTCAGACTCATGAAGAGATTTTACAAGAATAAAATTTCATGAAGTGTGCAACATTCTGAGTAACCAACAGAAAAATTTTATGAGTTTCATCTTGATCTTGCTAATGCTGGTATACAGTGGGAGTAAACCCTCTTGAAGTCAATGGAGTTGCAAATATATATAAGGGAGGTCAAAATCAAGCCGCCTTATATTTTCTGGAACTGACTTTCAGATATTATAACTGGATTCTGCAGTATACACCGTAAGAGAGCTAGCCTGGGCATTTACAGGAAATTAGAATTTAAGAACCTGAGGCCTCTAGATCATTTAATTATCTTTCTAATTAATATCTTCTGTTGAAATATTAATGCCAAATGTTTGCCTTTGTCATAATACTTTTTCCAAGTGGTATGAGTATGCAACCATCATATTATGAGAAGTTGGATATCTACATGTATATTAAGTTATTTTCTTTATTCAGTTGGAGCTTGATGGAAGGTTATTAATATTTATAGCAAGGAGATTGTGCTGTTCACATTACTTTAGGATGACTGGCCTTGCTCTGCTACATATACCTGCTCTCGTTTTTGGTACTCCTGGCCAATATGTGTCCAAAAATATTAATGTTTTATGATTTTGGTATCCTCATAATACAGTGACAATCTTGAGTATTCAACATTGATAGGGAATACCAGAGAAATGTCTTGTTTGCTAATATCCAGATTAGTTATAACTGACTGAAACTCAGGTTTTTCTTGTGAATCTGCTCCTGGGTTTTTGGTTTAATAAATTAAATGCCTCTTTTCTACTATCCTTAATGGAAGGTTGACTTTAATATGCAAAACCCACTTGTGGCATAACACTTACATGAAATTGACCAACTAATAACACTTAGGTAGAGATACAGATAAATTTGTATTTATGAAATAAAATAAATTGCACAAAATGTGATTATATTTCTCTCTTGCAGCCTTTGTACACTGCTTATCAGAAGCTCTGATTTTGAAAAGCCTTTTGTGCATGCTGAATTTTGTACACCGAAAGTAGCTGCACTGAATTCAGCTGAACTATTCAAATCGAGTAAAGTTAAGCACATAAATCCTTTCAGTATTGGGGCCATCACATTGTGGGTACTGCCAGAATAATGTAATATGAGTTTTGTTTCCGATTCTTGGGCCTGATTTTACAACCTTTCTTCTTTCTGAGATATATGTACTGACAATAGTAGTACAACTGAGTAGTAAGTACTATTGAATTTGAGGAAGAGTCACTGAATTAAGTCCCTAGAGTGGATGCAATGTCTTTGGAGAAGTTTTAACATTTACTGCTGTACATTGGAGATCAAACTTAATCTGGTCTGGTCATGTGGTCATGCACTTGTCTGTCCATGCAGGTTCTTCCCCAACAGATCCATTACAGTTTGTTACATTTGTAAATGAGTATTTATGATTTAAATATGTTTAAAAGATCCTTTAATGGGCTAGATGGCTTTTATATGGATGGAATGAGATATTTGGTTTACCATGATGCTGTAATGATATTGGACATCTGTCTAATGTATTGGTGTGATAATTACATGTATGAAATCATCTTGTAAACATGACTGACTCTTTTGTTACTACTTCTTTTGTGCCAGGGTATTAGACATGTGGATCACTTTGGGTTCATCTGTAGAGAGTCTTCAGGAAACGGTGGCTGCTACTTTGTCTGCTATGTGTTTCAGTGCACAGATGAAGCCCTGGTAAGAGATGCTAATTAAAGGCCTGATATCATAAGGTGCTAAGTTTTTGTTGCTGTTTGCTCTCAACTTCCATTGCATTTATAAAAATTTAATTGTTCTTAAGATAGAAAACTGTTAAGAAACTGAATTTTTGTTGAAGGCAGAGGTTAAAATATGTATCCTATTCAAAATAAATATAACCTCTACACTGGCATATCTGGAGTGGTCAGAGGCCATGGAGCACTTCATACTTCACCAAGCATTAAGTCAAGTTGTATATCGTGGGGTGGTTTTTTTGTTTGTTTGTTTTTAAAAGTAGAACTCCCATTAAAATGAATGGAGAGATCTGATTACATTCAGTAGGTATATCAGTTTTGAAAGCCAAACCCACAATCAGAAGGTCAGTATCTCAGGGGATTCCCTGATCATTATCCTAACATAATCCCAAAACAATGAAGGTATCCTTTTTAAAGAGACTGACTTTGTTGGGTTGAAAACAACACCAACTTAGTGTAGCAGAAATCACTTTTAATTCATTAGCCTTGATTTCCTCTCTTGTTCTCGTTAGGTTGATGAAATCATGATGACTTTGAAACAGGCTTTCACTGTAGCTGCTGTGCAACAAACCTCCAAAGCTCAGCTCCAACTTTGCGAAGGATGCCCTATGCAATTCCTGCATAAACTCTGTGAAAAGATTGAAGGTAAGTATTAAGCAATGTTGACAATGAAACCTCTTGAAAATGTATTCTATCTAACTTACTTACCAGAGCAATATTTGTATGTGTGAACATTGATCTAAAGGAATACACAATTTTTAAACCGAGGACTGTATTCACTTTGGAAACTTGAAGCTTGGTCAGTTAATTAAGAAATAACTTCAATACAGTATAAGATCAGAGTACTAGTGTCAAGAATGATCAAATAAAAGCTAAATTGATTCATACTGTGTATTTACTTAATTTTTAAAAAGAAATAAAAGTTAAATATAATTGCATTGAAAATTACTTGGTTCTTGAATTTATAAACAATAAAAAAATTTGAAATAATTTTTAAATGAACTTTTAAGGAATATACTGCCCTAGCTGAGAACTGCATGTCCTGTTAATGTACTGAGTTAGATAGAAGGGGTGTTCTGCTCCAGACTTGATCTCAAACGGTGGATCCTTTTAATGTGTTTGACCTGTACTTCTGGTAGGAAACAAAGTAATTGCAGCTTACATTCATTGTACAGAAAGTGGCAAAGACATGAAGTCAGGAACATTTTGCATTTCAGCAAGTTTCACAGCTAAGAATTTAGCCATTTAGGGCAGGGCTGGTGTGAATGAGGGACAGCAGTAGCTGTCAGATCAATGAAAAGCCACAATATCTTGTTGGACCAAGACATATCTTGTATTAATCTGTAGGAACAGGAGAATTTACAGAACTACACTACCTGTACTTTTTCTTGGCCTTCAGCTAGCTATGATTCTGAGAGCACTAAAAGGATAATTGAGTCTGATTGAATATTATTGCCGACCTCCAGCTTGATGGGGAAGTATATACACCCCACAATCAGATGCTTAACAAGTACAGAAACCTGTTGGTGCTAAAAAAAATCTAGAAAAGGAATTTAATCAAGGATAAGAAAAAGAAGAACTAATGAGAGCCACAGGATTGTATGCTTTTAAATATCAGTAAACGAATTCAGCAAAAGAAAAAAGCTGGAGAATACAGTATTTCATGTATCTTGGCAAAACTCTTGAAGAGGCAAATTATAAACCAAGGCATATAAATGAGAAAATAGTTAATAGAAAATATATTTAAAAAAAACCAAACTCCCCGAAACCTATACTGCATAAAACCTCAATAAGGAGTCTGTTGATAAGCCACAGCAGAATCTAGGTTCATTCTGTGTTACATGATCATGCAATCTTCTAGGTCAGCTAAGAAGCCTAATCCTGCACTTTATTCCAGCAAAACTCCTTGTTGCAAAAGATTGCATTTCCTCATTTCATATGCATTATAAAGTTCATATTTACAGACTGATGTAAGTAATTATATAAAACAGGAGTAGGCAACCTATGGCACGTGTGCTTGAAGGCAGCACGCGAGCTGATTTTCAGTGGCACTCACACTGCCCAGGTCCTGGCCCACCAGTCTGGGAGGCTCTGCATTTTAATTTAATTTTAAATGAAGTTTCTTAAACATTTTAAAAACCTTATTTACATTACATACAGCAATAGTACAACAATAGTTTAGTTATATATTATAGACTTATAGAAAGAGACCTTCTAAAAACGTTAAAATGTATTACTGGCACGCGAAACTGTAAATTAGAGTGTATAAATGGAGACTCGGCACACCACTTCTGAAAGGTTGCCGACCCCGATATAAAACAAAGTACACTTTTTTAAAATTTGTGTACTACAGCGCCCATCTGCTAAAACTAATGCAGATAACTCATTTAAATAGCAATGCTTATACCTCTTATTTAAACTTCTGTGCATATCATATGATTAGTGTATTGTATCAGTTTAAAGCTTGCTTTTTACAATACTTGTCCATTTTATCTTGGTTCATCGCTTATTAGGACTACATCCTTCTAAAACTAAACTAGAACTCCAGAAGCATCTCACAACACTAAATAACCAGGAGCAGGCTGCTCTTTTTGAGCAGGTTCAGGTAATGTGTGGTTTTTGTTTGCGTGTTTTTGTTTTTAAATTAAAAGTTATATTGCTGTCGTCTTTATTTACAATCTGTGTCCAGCATGAAAGCTTTTATTTTCATGAGAATTGTTCTTCAGCTTCTTACGGTATTCAGTGACAATCTGGAAATCGCCATTTGTTTTAAATTCTGTGTCATTCACTATTGTTTCTAGGGCTGATCAGATCTTCAGACTAAACTGTTTTTCTGATGGAAAACTAGATTTTTGACTAATGAAATTTTTACAAAAAGTGTCTGTAGAGAATTTTACTTTTCATGAAAAAACCAAGTGCCAGAACGTTCAATTTGGAGATGTGAAACATTGTTTTGACACTTATGATCAAAACAAAACGTTTTGATGTTCCTGAATTGATACTTCATTTCAGCTTGGTTTGTTATTCAACCTGAATCTAAATTAGGACTGTCAAGCGATTAAAAAAATTAATTGTGACTAATAATGCAATTAATCACGTTGTTAAACAATAATAGAATATCATTTATTTAAATATTTTTGGATGTTTTCTACATTTTCAAATATATTGATTTCAATTACAACACAGAATACAAGTGCACAGTTTCAGAGTGGTAGCTGTTTTAGTCTGTATCAGCAAAAACAACGAGGAGTCCTTGTGGCACCTTAGAGACTAACAAATTTATTTGGGCATAAGCTTTCATGAGCTAGAGCCCACTTCGTCAGATGAATGAAGTGAAAAATGCAGGAGCAGGTAAAATACATGAAAGGATAGGGGTTGCTTTTCCAAGTGTGAGGTCAGTCTAGTGAGATAAATCAATTAACAGCAGGATACCAAGGGAGGAAAAATAACTTTTGAAGTGGTAAGAGAGTGGCCCGTTACAGACAGTTGACAAGAAGGTGTGAGTAACAGTAGGGAGAAATTAGTATTGGGGAAATCAAGTGTAGGTTTTGTAATGACCCAACCATTCCCAGTCTTTATTCAGGGCTAATCTGATGGTATCCAGTTTGCAAATTAATTCCAGTTCTGCAGCTTCACATTGGAGTCTGTTTTTGAAGTTTTTGTTGTTGAAGAATTGCCACTTTTAGGTCTGTTATTGAGTGACCAGAGAGATTGAAGTGTTCTCCTACTGGTTTTTGAATGTTATGATTCCTTATGTCAGATTTGTGTCCATTTATTCTTTTGCGTAGAGACTGTCCGGTTTGGCCAATGTACATGGCAGAGGGGCATTGCTGGCACATGATGGCATATATCACATTGGTAGATGTGCAGGTGAACAAGTTCTGGATGTAGATGTACATGATGTAGTTAGATCCTATGATGGTGTCCCTTGAATAGATATGTGGACAGAGTACAGTGCTCGCTTTATATTCATTTTTATTACAAATATTTGCACTATAAAAAACAAAAGAAATAGTATTTTCCAGTTCACCTAATACAAATACTGTAGTGCAATCTCTTTATCATGAAAGTTAAATTTACAAATGTAGAATTATGTAAAAAAATAAAATAATACTCCATTCAAAAATAAAACAATGTAAAACTTTAGAGCCTACAAGTCCACTCAGTCCTACTTGTTGTTCACCCAGTCACTCAAACAAGTTTGGTTACAGTTTGCAGGAGATAATGCTGCCCACTTCTTGTTTAGAATATCACCTGAAAGTGAGCACAGGCATTTGCATGACATTGTAGCCGGCGTTGCAAGATATTTACGTACCAGATGCACTAAAGATTCATATGTCCCTTCATGCTTCAGCCACCATTCCAGAGGACATGCATCCATGCTGATGACCGATTATGCTCGATAACAATCCAAAGCAGTGTGGACTGACACATGTTCATTTTCACCATCTGAGTCAGATACCACCAACAGAAGGTTGATTTTCTTTTTTGGTGGTTCTGGTTTTGTAGTTTCTGCATCAGAGTGTTTCTCTTTTAAGACTTTTGAAAGCATGCTCCACACCTCATCCTTCTCAGATTTTGGAAGGCACTTCACATTCTTAAACGTTGGGTCAAGTGCTGTAGCTATCTTTAGAAATCTGATATTGGAACCTTTTTTGCGTTTTGTGAAATCTGCAGAGAAAGTGTTCTTAAATCAAACAAGATGTGCTGGGTCATCATCCGAGACTACTATAACACAAAATATATGGTAGAATATATGGTGAAACTATGGCGCAGGAGACATACAATTCTCCTCCAAGGAGTTCAGTCACAAATTTAATTAACACTTTTTTTTTTTTTTAACAAGCATCTGCAGCATGGAAGCATGTTCTCTGGAATGGTGTTTGAAGCATGAAGAGGCATATGAATGTTTAGCATATCTGGCACGTAAATACCTTGCTATTCCGGCTACAAAAGTGCCGTGTGAACGCCTGTTCTCACTTTCAGGTGATATTGTAAATAAGAAGCACACAGCATTATCTCCCATAAATGTAAACAAACTTGTTTCTCTTAGCGATTGGCTGAACAAGAAGTAGGACTGAGTGGACTTGGATGCTCTAAAGTTTTACATTGTTTTGTTATCGAGTGTAGTTATGTAACAAAACAAAAATCTACGTTTGTAAGTTGCACTTTCACGATAAAGAGATTGCACTACAGTACTAGTATGAGGTGAATTGAAAAATACTATTTCTTTTGTTTGTCATTTTTATGATGCAAATATTTTTAATCAAAAGTAATATTAAGTGAGCACCGTACACTTTGTATTCTGTGTTGTAATTGAAATCAATATATTTGAAAATGTAGAAAAACATCCAAAAATATTTAATAAATTTCAGTTGGTATTTATTGTTTAACACTATGATTAAAACTGCGATTAATTGTGATTAATTTTTTGAGTTGCGATTAATTTTTTAGAGTTAATCGCGTGAGTTAACTGTGATGAATTGACAGCCTTAATCTAAATATTTCAGTTTGTTGAACCAAATCAAACTGGTTTGGTTTTGGAGTAGTTTCACATTAATCTGTATCCTGCTGAGTTGTGGTGTCTCACGGAAGTAACAGTTTGGGACTGTGATGCATCATGGGACAAGTAGTTTTATTAGGACGAGAATGGGAACATAAGGCACATGGAAGCTCAGGCAGACTCACTTTAATGTGGAACTAATCCAAAACTAAACGTTTTGACAAACTGGAATATTTAGATTTGGGTCAGCCGAACCAAAAATGAAACATCTAGTTTAGTTGAGAAACATAGTAACTCCAGCGTATTTTGGGGTAAACTAGCACTAGTGCCTCAGCTGACTGGGCATTTCTGTAACCTAAGCGTGTCTTATTGCATTGAGGTCCCTAAAACATATCTGTTGAAGATGATTTTTATTTTATTGTAAGGCTGTAGAAATAAACCACTGGATAAAACATAACCAAAAAAATCTGTCATCTCTTTGCACTTTTTTAATACAAATTTTGGTGGTCTGGGATTTCAATACGTTTTCCTGATTTCCATTTTTGAGATAATTATCTTTCTAAAAATATTTGCCGTAACCAGAGTTGCTCCCAGTCACATATGATATTTGCTCATAATATATCACATACATTATATGCGTAATTGTGAGAATTACATGAATTTAAAAAGCTTCATCTTTGTGATACGTACTACAGTTGTTACCATTTTACAAATATTTTCTCTTCTAATAATCCTAAAGACTAGGTTGGAAATCTGAATAAGCAGAGATAAATATTTTAATCTGGTCTCCCCTCTGATGTTCCTTAATAATAGATTGTACCTGTTTTAGGACCAGTGCATTAATGCATTCTAAACTCTCTTGTGGTTATAACTGAGTATCTCTATAACCAAAACAAAATTTAGCTAAATTGGCAGGTATACTTGCAATTAATTAATGTAATTAACTGTAATGATTTTTTCTAAATGTTTTGAATATTTTTGTGCAAAATATAACAGTTGCATTGGGTATTTATTTCTAATTTAAACTACTTCAAAACTTTAGGATTAAAAGCTAATAGCAGGATTTAAAATATAAGTTTAATTTTTGAAGTACCTGCCATGTTCTGCTGAGATACTTGTTACAAATATGAAGTTTTATATAATGAAAATTGGATCCATAGTAAAACGGTCAGATAACTGAGAGAAATATTACATATGCACTACAGAGGTAAAACTATAATTTTATTTTGGAATCATATTGATAAATGATATTTATACTAAGAATTGTTCTAGCTATGACAATGTTATGCTTTCTAAAATATGCTTCAAGTGACTTTCAGCAGCTGATATCTACTGTTAGTCACAGCACTGTGTGGTATTTGTGAAATATCATTAAAATATTTATCTGGCTGTGTTGCTGCATTGCTTGAATCACTGGTGTCCTCTAGTGGAATTATACAGCAGCATCAACTAGATTAAACTATTCAGTGTGCATTAACTACACACTGGCAATCATAAAAGTTAAAATAGAGGGGAATAATTTTAAAGCTACTATATGAATGCAACTCTTATTTTTTCGTGTGTCTGCTTTTTTAAAAAGAAATTAAGACCAAGAAATGATCAGAAAGAGAATGAGTTGATTATCGCTATTCTAAGAAACATGTATGAAGAAAAACAGAAGGATCATGTTCACATTGGGGAAGCAAAGCAGGTACGTGAGCCTTCATTTAAAAAAGTCTTTTTCCTTTCCTACTAACTTCTCAATGGTGAATTTCCATCTTTGTATTTAATGTAAAATTAACACTGAACTGAAAGCCCACTTTGCTCTTTCCTGGTGGGATATTTATTATTTAACATGTTTATTATAGCAGGACCTAAGAACCAACCGAGAGTGGGGTCCCATTGGGCCAGGCACTGTGCAAACACAGTACAAAGACAGGCCTTGCCCCAAAGGGCTTACAATCTAAATAAACAAGACAGACACAGGGTTTGGGGAGAGGGGTAGAACACAGAAGCAGAGTGAACAATGGGTTGGCAGCAAATGTCATTTTAGTCCCATGATTTTTTGGGGGGTGAGTTTACTTAGGAGGGGATATTCTAAATGGAAAGAAAGTGAAGTGGAGGGGAC